GGCAACAAAAATACCCAAAGAGTGTTTTATTTGGACGAAACTTTTTTTGAAAGCTGAACGAAAAGAGACTAGATTTTTTTTAGAGAGAGAGAGTCTTAGGTGGAAGTTTCTAACTCTGAGAGGAGATTTGTGTGCAGGAAGTTTCTTGAAGAGTTCTCTGCTCCTCTCAGGAAGTGTAGAAGCAGCATTGGGCAGAAGAAGAGTTGCTGTTATGACAAAAGATTCAGATGTTTCTATGAGAAGCTCTGCAGCTGGGAAGGCCTTTCAGAGTTATTCTCAATTGTGGCAAGGGGGGCATCTCTGTATCCTCCCATTGACCAGTCATTAGATGTGGGCTACTCCAGGAGAATGGGCATAGCTTTAGGTGAGACAGTTCCTTTACGCCATGGGTTATTCTCAGGCAGGGCCTTAGTTGTGAGCTTTTAGTGTCCATCATTCTGGTAGCGGAAGAAAACCATGGTGCTGAAAGTACACCTAGGTGGTGCATTATGGTTTCAGGGGCAAGAAAGAAAAAGAAAGAAGAGAAGAGGAAAGAAAAGAGAAGAGAAAGAAAGGGGAAGGGAGGAGAGTTAAAGACTCCTATCTTTTCTTTTTTCTCTCTTTTTTCTTTCTTCCTTTCCCTTACCTATTCTTCTTTCTCCCCACCCCCTTCCCTTCTTTCCCCAGTTACCTTTTCCTTCTTTCTTCTCATTTATTCTTTATTTATTCCTGAAAAAGAAATAATGCTACTTAAAAGAGGAGGAAGAACAGGAGGGCCAATGAGCCCCAACAGACATCTTAGGCAGCAGCCAGCACCAACCACCTCCTGTGTGAATGAGACCATTTTGGACTTTTTAGCCATTTTGATTGCCCTCTGATTACACCCATTTAAGTTAGCTCAGGCAAGGTGACAGAAGAAGCATCTCTTATTAGCATATAGGATTATCAGAAATAATAAACTGTTGTTGTAAGCCACCAAGTTTAGGGTTGGCTTGTTACACAGCAAAAAGGATCAAAAGAGGAGCATCATGCATCACATCTAATGTTCAACACATGGTATTAATCAACATAAAATTAGAATAAAAATTATCAGGCTGCAAAACATTGCAGTGATCCTGTATAATAAATAGCACCCAGGAAGATTTTCCCCTTCAAATCCTTTACCATCCCTATTCTCCCCCCACCACATGCTTCCCCTCTGGGCAGTGTACAGCCTCAACGGAATGGATCCCAGTGAAGGCCTGGATTATCTTGGTCAAATCAGTTATAAAAAAAAAAAACTTGATTTCAGCACTTATAGAGAATCTTGTTGGTTAGTACTTCAATCTATTGATTAAAGTGCTTTAAAGGACAGACCCACATTTTTATTAACCCTGGGATTTTCTGCACCAGTTGCTTTCACGACTACTTTGCAGGAGATAGGTTATTTTCTTCATACTTGGGAGATGTCAGATCAAAATATTCTCTGTCAGGCAGAATTAATATATGACTTAATTTTAATGGAAATTAGTCCTCCAATGTCTCTGGCTATTTTCTCTTAAAATAGCTAACAGATAAGTTCTGTTTTGAGTTTTAGAAAACCTTCTAGTTTCCTGGATGACTCTGCTATTTATACAACAACTTCAAGGAAAAAGAGATAAAGTAACTTACCACCAAAAAAACAAAACAAAAAAAGCCCAAAACCCACCAGGGTGACAATGTAAGATTCATAAAAAGGCTGTCAAGTTATTTTTAAACCCAAGAACTTCTGGTACTAATTTTCTAGCATTCATTTAAAATATAATTTTAAAAGCTAAGTTCTTTTGATGGAATAATGATTTTAAATTTTTTTTACCTGTTTCTGTAACAGGTAAACACAGTGTCTACACTGTGTTTCTATTCAATGATATCAAATAAAATTGTGCAAATGACAGTAATAGCAGTTAGTAGCAGTGGATTAATACTCACGTCCCACTACTTTGCACAAATATTTGGGGTCTCACTTTTTAAAAATTTTTTTCTCTATTGATTTTTAGAGAGAGAGAAAGGGAGAAGGAGCAAGAGATAGATACATGGATGAGAGAGAACATCGATTGGCCGCCTCCTGCATGCCCCTAACTGGGGGTCAGGCTCATAACCTGGGCATGTGCCCTGACCAGGAATTGAACCAACCACCTCTTGATGCATGGGTCAACGCTCAAGCACTGAGCCATACTGGCCAGGTGGGGTTTCACTTTCTATACAGAAATAATTAAGTGACTAAGTCACACAATGAAGAGAATTTTGTAATGTCTGAACACACTAAATGCTTAGTCAAAATTCATTAATACTTGAAAACTAGCAAAAATGCATTTACCTCAAATGCTGACTAATAAGCTTGTCAAATTTAAGTGACTCAAAAAATGTGTTAATACTTCCTTATGAACTTTGCTGCAGATGTGTCTTTTGTGACAAAATACAGTTGTTGATTAAGACAATGACTTGATGATCCTGTGCTACATGAATTCCTCTGTCCCAGTACTGACTAACTCAAATAGCATCATTGGTTCAAAAGAGTTTTTATATCATTTCCCCAAAAGGATTAAGAATTTCCGAGTAATCTTACTAAATGAACCAGAAAAGAAACTTGGTTTGTGTTTAAGTCCAGTGAAGCCAATAAATGTTGTACACCATGGGAGTTGTGATGGTCAGAAAAAGAAAGATGTTGTGAATAATGTTTAAAAACTTTTATATCTTGTTCTGGGAATGACTGTAGTTTATGTTTGAGTTAAAAAATATCTGATTTTCAAATTAACAATTTACCAATCTCAGTGATCGCGAAAAGCTATAAAGTCGTCACTCAGAAAGACCTCGGAAGAAATTTGCTTTCCTTACCCTGTTTTCTATTAAGATTTTCTCTACATGTCAGCTCTTAGGAGGATTTGAAATTTCAGCTTAAGCTTTTCCTTAAGCTTGTTTCTTTAACTATGAATTTCTGGTTTGGAAGAGGTGGAAAATAATTTTAATTTAATTTGTTCTACTGCTAGACTGTAAGTTATAAGAAGGAAACAAATGGGATGGAGAAAAATAAAGACTACATTAAAAAACAGGAAATAAGAACTTAAGTACCCTGGCTAGCTAGTTCCGTTGGTTAGAGCATCATCCCAATATGCCACGGTTGTGGGTTCAATCCCCAGTCAGGGCACAAATAAGAATCAACCAATGAATGCATAAATAAGTGGAATAACAAATCGATGTTTCTTTCTCTCTCTCTTCCTTCCTCTCTCTCTAAAGTCAATACATAATTTTTTTAAAAAAGAACTTAATTAGGTGTCACCAATAACTAATAAACAACAGGGAAAGTTGGTTTAAAAGTTTTTTTTAAAGCTTGGAAAAATTAATTATTGCAAATATTCTTTTGATAAAAAGTATTTTTTTCATTTAATATTCTGGAATATTAAATGCTTCTTTTATAATATTAATGCTTCTTCTGGAATTTCAAAGGTATGAAAATTAAGCAAAAAGAAAATAGAAAGTTTAAATATTCTGTAATTTTTGTACATACTTGTAGGAGGGAAACAACTTGTGGCCAGGGCCTTTTCCTTTTTGCCCAGCTTTCCAAGCCACCTTTTTATACCACAGGTACTTTGGGTCATGTGGAGTTTGGTTTGAGAACTGTAGCTGATTAGAAAGCAAAAAGAAACTTTCCTTCATATGATACATATTCACTGATATATTCACTAGCACTGTTTAGGACCCACTGTATATTGCATTACCCTACACGATACAGGCAGGATACACGAGATAGTCAAAGAAACCTTGGGCATGCCTCTGCTTTCAAAAGTGCACAGTCCAGTTGGGGAAGGAAGTCTTATAGATGGGCTAGATATCTGAACAATAACATACACAAGCCAGCCTGTGATGTGTAGATCCACCTCTGTGTCTCTGTGGGGCTTTGTCTATATCAAGTAGAGTTTGAGATCCAGACCCTTAATTAGGGTCTGAGAATTAGAAATAAAGATCTTATTGCAATTTGTATAGTGTAAAACTGGAAACAACCTTAAAGTCACCAATGAGACAAAGGTTGGATGATTGTAAGTGCCATGGAATGTCACACATTGGTCAAATTTACATTGGGTCAAAATTACATTGAGGTAGCATGAGAGGATGCTGAAGACATATTTTTGAAGGACAAAAGCTGTATAATGATCTCATTTATATAAAAAAGATCTATGTCTACTTCTATGCATATATGCCTATCTCTATGTATTCTGTGTGTGTCTCTATGTATATGTATATATGCATATGTAATATGTGTGTATGTGTATGTATGTGTGTGTGTGTATAATATATATTATGCAGAGAGAATAGAACATTAAAGCCAAATTGTTATTGATGGTGACCACCACAGAGTGGGAATGTGGAGTAATAATAAAAAGAAACTTGCATGTTTCATTCTACATACATCTGCAGTATATGAATCATTAACAAAAAATTATATTATATATTTCTCTATTAGACTAAAAAGAAAAGGAAAAGTAATGATGCTGGGTCTTGCTTTCTAAGGTATACTCAGACAGTAGAAACAAGTAGTTTATAACACAAGGGAGGGTAAGTTAGCTTCTACTTTCTCAATAAAATTACAAAAAAATAATGCATTTCAAAAACCAAAAGACCCATAAACTAATATGGAAAGTGAGTCTTTGATGGTAACTGGTTCATTTTATCCACATACTGCAAATGAATCCCAAAATTTATTAATATCCAAGAACATCTGCTTTCCTAGGCAACAAGAATGGGAAAATAATTCTCTTTTCACATATTAATGCTTTCAGATAATCATAAAGTATCTATTCGGCCTCACATAAATTACATGAAAGGAAAGGCAGGGTATTATTTCATAGTCACACAAGGAAGAGATGTATACTATTTCAGTCTCATTCTTATCTAAGTATAGTGCTAAATACGTATAAGGGAGATGGGTGTTGAGAAAAGGGAGTGGGAGTGTGAAGTAATGCATAAGATGAAATTTAGCAGGAACTTTGACTTTTCTGGTGTTTATCTGGGTTGGGCACAACTTAAGCACCCTTATACATGTACTACCACATGCTCTCACTTCCCGGCCGCTATCCCTTTTCTCCTTACTGGCCTTGAGAGAAAGTGTATAAAAGACAACAGGGGGGCGTAAAAGCCACTTTGCTGCAGAGTCCTTGGCAGCAATCCACCCTCACACTGGGGTCTCCTAGCTCTGGGGACAAATCTAGCTCAGTTCTCTCCACCATGAGCCTCAGATCCAGGGCCACCTCTGCTCCTGTCTTACAGGTGTTGCTGCCACTATCACTGCTCCTGACTGCACTGGTTCCCTCCACCACGGGACAAAGCAAGAGGAAATTAGAGGGAGCTAACGGTAAGAGTCCCTGCTTCCCTGTGGCTGTAGCTGCTTCTGCTGCATCTGTGTCTGGGGGAAAACTGTCATGCTGCTCCTGGGGCTGGAGAAAACCATTATGTTAACAACTCTAAAAGGAGGAGCTACGCTTAATGGGCACTTAATCATCTTGTGCTAGGCATTTGGCTGGGGTACTTTAATATAGGTTTCAGATTGTATTCAAAGTGGCCTTGTGAGATAGCTACAATTCACAAAGAAGGGGACTGAAGAATCAAGCCAGTAGATAGTAAAGGTAATCATGACCACTAATGGATACTCAGTTTCTATCCCAGCTGAAATTAATTTGTATGCTGAACTTCGCTGCCTATGTGTAAAGACCTTCTCTGGCATTCATCCTAGCAACATCCAAAATTTGGAGGTACACAGGGCAGGACCCCACTGCTCCAAAATTGAAGTGATGTAAGTCCATGCTCCTGTATTATTAACTCTTTAAGGAATCCCTCTGCCTCAATCCTCACCACCACTATTTTGTTGTTGTTGTTCTGCCCCATTGATCCCCTCTGATAGACCAGGACACACAAAAATTTTTATTTTCTCTTGCAGAGCCAAGCTGAAGAATGGGAAGGAAATCTGCCTGGATCCAGATGCTCCCAGAGTCATAAAAATACTCCAGAAAATTTTGGAAAATGATAAGCCAGCTATTTAATCTGTTCACTTTCTATCAAAACTTTTTATCTCCCAGCAAGAGTAGGAGTTAGTAGTGTTTACTTTCTGGAGTTTTTATTTATCCAGGATACCTATTCATACTGTAGTAAATTTTGGATATGTTTTCCATTCTGTCTCAAAATGTCACATTTTATTCTGAGAAGGCTGGTTACTGAATGACAGAGAGGATGAATGTAAGCAAGCCTGGTCTCAAAATATGACATATGGTTCACTCCCTCATTCTTGGCTAACTGTGGTGCTATGCTTTGTGTTTCTTTATTTAAAATTTTCTTTCCAAACACATTTATGTTCATTCATCTTGCTCTACTTTACTTTTAGACTAGCTGTGCCCTGGATGATGAACAGGTTCCATAATGGTCAATGATACTAGGAATCACACAGAGCCCAACAATAAATGTTTGTTCATATATTTAGGGATTTAATAGAGTTTTCCGTTGTCTTAGTCCTAGGATGTCTTGTTTAAGAGAATTCTCTGAAAGATGTTTCTAATGTTTATTTTAGTTTTCAAATCCTAAATTAAAAAAATTGTAGAATGTAAATTTTGTAAGCAGCGGTTATTTAAAGTGAATATATTTAATACTAGTAATTAAAAAAAGTGATAAAAAGCCTTATCAAGCTCTATCAAAATCTCCAGTATTTTCAATAATAATAACAATAATAATACAGACTCTACTTGATATAAAATGTTTTACCTTGGCATGTTTGCACATATTTGCATTTACTCACTATTTGCAAGGTTACAATTTTAGTATTAAAATCAGTCTTGCAAATAAGTACAATAATTAAAACTTTACCAGACTACTAATTATTATTTTATAATCAATAGAACTTTCATTTATTTCTCAATCCCTTAAACTTAGTCCCACACTAATCTTACAGAACTACTAGCATAAAATCAAAATTTGTTATTACTTTGTTGCCATATATTATTAATTTTAACAGAATTGTTGGGGGGGTCCTAAATTATCCCTTTAATTTTTTTACACTTTGGTATTCACAATATGACCAACAAAAGTCACTAGTTGATCATCTGTTCCATTTTTAATGTATTAGAATAACAGCTAAACTTTATGAATAACTTTTTTTTTTTAAATTCTCACCTGAGTATTTTTCTATTTATCTTCAGATAGTGGAAGGGAAGGGGAGAGAGAGAGAGACATCGATATGAGAGGAACACATCAACTGGTTGCCTCTGGCATGACCCTAACCTAGGCCAGGGACCAACCACAGCTAAAGTATGTGCCCTTGACCAGAATGAAACCTGCAACTCTTTGGTCTGCAGGCAGACCCTCTAACCACTGGGCCAAACCAGCCAGGGCATGAATAACTTTTAACATGCCAGGTCCATTAAGTGTTTTACATGCATGAAATAATTCTTGCAAGAAAGATATGATCTGATTTAAAACATGTCCTCCAGAGAGAGAATAACTAAGTAACTCAGCTCTAACACTTGCTAACTGTGTAACTTTGGATAGGTTGCTTAACTTCTCTGTTTCTAATTTTCTTCATCTCAAATGGAATAATACTGCTTATCTCATAACGCTGATGTGAAAATTAAAAGAGTTAATAAATTAAAAGTGTGAAAATAAAGTATGTCATGAAATAATCCATAGAAAAATGTTAATGATTATTTGTTATTATTACTATTAGCACCCTCAATATTACAGAGAAGAAAACTGAAGTTCAAAGCGATTAGGAAATTTGTCCCAAGATCAGATAATTAAGAAGATGACAGAGTGGGGATTTGGAACTGTGCTCTTAACCACCACACATCACACCATACAACTTTCCTTGATTCTGCCTTCTCTAATGAAGAGGTTATATTATATATCACACAGTGTTGCTGACACACAAAATAGCATGCTGCATATACTACAATAATTACAGGAGAACAAGTAAGTTCACCTTGTGCATGGAATTTTAGGAACATTCATACATTAAGCATTTAGTTTATAAAATAAATATATTAAATAGTTAACCCAAAATATACATAAACATGTAATTAAGCAGTAAATATGGATTGTAGTCATCATTAGTTTTCTCCAATAATTCAAAATAGCTTACATCTCATTTATTTCTCCAGTTGTTTCCTACTGAAATGCAGCAGGACCAGCTTCTAAGACATGCCACAGTTTTTACACTATGCTAGCCCCTGAGATGTAGGTGTCTTTTATTTTTGTTTGCACATATAGAATTATTCTATTTATATGCAGAGAAAGAATGATTTAATTGTCATGTACTATTCTCTGGATTTCTTTACACTTCAAATATTAAAATTTGGAGACAAGGCTGTACAAGTACTTTATGTCACTATCCATCTCCAAAACCATCTTTTCTATTCATTCCCTCTGCCACTAACCTGACTTGGGACTTCAAGTTTTAGTTCCATAAACATATTCTGTATCAGCCATTGTGCTGGATGAAGGATATTTAAAAATATATAGTTCACAGAGAATTGCCCTTGAAGAGATCACTCACTGTCTAGTGGGAGAGGCAGACAAGTTGACAAGCAATCACAGCCACATATGACACACTAATGAGTAGGCATGCTCCAATTGCATGGGGAAACAGATACATGAACAAGTCAAAGCCTCAACATCACTAGTTTCAACGTATACTATCTACGCTAAATGGGGTAAGTATACTAAGTCCTTGTAGTTTACCATTGTGATAATGATAAACATTATAATCTCTCACCTCATAGAACTTCTCATTTAGGAAGAGAAATCATTTTAAACACTTTAAACACACACACAGGCACACACACATATCTGTGCAAATGTGTGTGTGAGTGTGTTCGTATGATCTGTGAGAAATAGGAAAAACACAGGTGCTATAAAGCACCACCACAGGGAACACAATCAACTACAGCTGTCAGGGAAGGCTCTCTAAGGAAGGAATATTTAAGCTGACACCAGAAATATGAATAGGACTTAGCCAGCTGAAAGAGCAGGTAGTGGGAGAGTAAGAGAAAGAACATTCTAGGCCCAGGAATTAAATTGTATATCCCTGCAGAAATCTGGTCCTGCGGAGCATTAAGCCATCAACTGGTTCCACGCAGTGAGTGGCTCCTGGTCCCTTGAACCAGTGTTAATCAGTGTGACAGAGCCTCTGGCTGTGAGTTGAGGGTGTACTTTGCCCTAATCAAGAGCTACAGTCATTCTTTTTCAGAGAAGGGAAGATGGTCCCTATTCATCTTGGGACCTTTCCTGGGCAGCATTCTGTTGCATACCCTCACCCCCTCTCTTCCACGTCTTTTCCACACAACTCCCAGATGCTCTGTGTCCTGAGAGCATCCCTGCTCCTGCCAACAGTGCAGCCCATCTTGCCCTGTCAGCCAGGTCACAGCGGGCACTGGAAGACATAGCCTGGAAATTCTCCTTCTTGACCTCTCTTGGCTGAGCAGAATGGAGAAACACGCAGGCACCACGTTTTCCAGAAAGAGCGCATTCAAATATTACTTTCACAATTTTTCTCGGAGTAAGAGGATGGATGAGGATGGTAGACCTTGCTTCCTAGAGTGTACTGGATGGTGTTTGGTAAAGCTGGTGGATCCCATTCAAGATACTGAGAAAGCCTTCCACCACCAGGTGAAATTCAGAACTGAGTCATCACCTAGGAAACAAATTCAACCTTTTAGTAGCAGAAAACAATGACAAACTATACACCTTTAACACACAGGTGTACCGATGAACTCAACTCATCGGTAATCAACAAGAAAGGCAGGAACAGAGCGCAAAGCCCTTCTTCGCAAGCAGCTGGAAGTTGGGGAGGGAATAGAAACTCTCTCAGTCCTGAAGGTTCAGGCTGTGTAAATTGCAATGCGGTGACTATAGGGAACGCTAGTTACACATTAACAAAGAACATATATTTTATAAGGTTCAACTACTGTTTCTAACTCCACAAATGTGCATGTATATGAAATCGGGTGGGGGTTTGGATCCTGCTACCAGTTACATCCAAGACAGCTGACCCAGACCCAGGCTCTTTTTTCCCCTTTTTTTTTTTCCTTCCTTAATCTTGACTGGCCAGAGCCCAACTTTTCTGAGCGTCTGCACCACAGTTCCTCACCCTCCACCCCAGGCTTCCGGCGGACAGTGAGGATAAAACGGGCCCGGGGAGCCTCCGAACCACTGGCCTGCAGAGCGCCAGCCCGGTTTGTCCTCGTACTTCGGTCTCCGGTTTGGCACGTCGGCAACATGAACCTCAGAGCCGCCTCCCGCGCCGCCCGCCCCTGGCCCAGCCCCCGGCTGCTGCTCCTGGGGCTGCTGCTCCTGCCGGCCGCGGTCGCCCTCGCCAGCGGTGAGAACAGAAGCGAGGGGGAGGCCTGGGAACCGCCCGGGTCCCTGCTATGCTCTACTGGGCAAAGTTAGGTGTGTGCGGGCACTGTGCCAGTTGCTGTCCCGCACTCTTCACCAACTAGGCAATAGAACTTCTTCCTGAGGGGGGTTGGTTTGTGGAGGGGGAAATGAAGGCCCATCGCAGTGAGAAAGATCCTTAAGGAGTCATTCTAGGACTGTCTTCCGCTCTGGTGCCCCCTTCCCTCTTCCCCAGCAGACCCCGAAGAAGGAGATGGGAACCTGCAATGCCTGTGTGTGAAGACTACCTCCGGAGTCCACCTCAAGCACATCACCAGCCTGGAGGTGATCCGGCCTGGAGTCCACTGCCCCACCTTGCAAATGATGTGAGTCCTCTCACTTGCTTCTTGCACCCACCCTCTGACTCCTCCACCTCTGCCTGTCGCCTTTCCACACCCCTCTCCACCCAGAGCCCAATCCCTGCGTTCAAGCCCAGGGACTGAAGAGTTTGCCTCTTCTCCTTTCCCTGACAGAGCCACGTTGAAGAGAGGAGAGAAAATTTGCCTGGATCCTAATGCCCCCATGTCTAAGAAAATAATCAAGAAACTTATGAAAAGTTAACTACTAGCTGACTAAATCTGCAGTTACTATATAATGTGTTTTGCTTTTTTTTTTTTTCATTTTCAATCTAACTGAAAAAAATCCGATGTGTTATTATCCTTCAAATTTTAAATAAATAAAATCAATCAAGTTGTGGTACATTCAAAATATTTCTTAATAGAGCAAAGCGTCAGCATTGTGTATAAAAAGAAATCTCCAGTATTTAAGCAAAAATATAATTTGAAGGAAGGCTTGGTTTAATAAACACTGGTTTTCTTTGGTGTTATATGTTTTCCAAGACATATTTGTATAATTGTATTACTTAATAGCTACTTAATTACATATTGTTAAAATCCATTTTGTCAATAAATATAAATAGTACTTAAGCTTTACTGGGATGTTTTGTAAGAAAAAAAGTATGTAAATCAGGGTCTGCTTTTATCCCCTTAAGATTTTTACTCTACCCCAGTATTAGAAAATTAAGAAATAATAAAACCAGAACCTCTACTATTTAATGAAAGTATATTTTCCAGGGAATTGTATTAAACTATTTTTCTCTCTATTGGTCTTTTGATAATGTTGACATTTCACAAAAAAGAAATGTTAAGAACAGTTCTCAAACCCACATTACTGCCTGTAATGAATCCTGTGTTTGGCAAACCTACCGAATTGGTTTCTATTACATTCTGTTTGTATACCATGAGTGTTGCTATAATCATGCAAATGTCTTGCATAGATTTTTTTCCTTCAGTATTCTCAAGTTCAATGAAGCCTTATTTTCAGTTTACCACTGTTCCATAAATCCCTTAACATTGGAACTATTGTGATTATGTCAAGCAGCTGTGAAAACCTGGAAAGATGCAAGGTTGTATTTTCATTCATGCTTTAGGAAGACACTACTATACTTTGGGGAGAAAGGAAGGTGTTGCAAGATGGGTGTGTTAGTTTCCTATTGCTTCTGTAATCAATTGCCACAAACTCAACAGCTTAAACAGCACAGATGTATTATCTTACAGTTCTGGAAGTCAAAAGTCCAAATTGGGTCTTGTGAGCTAAACTCAAAGCATCCTCAGAGTTCATTCCTTCTGGAGCTCTAGGGGAAAATACATGTCTGTCTTTCTCGGCTTCTAGAGGTGACCTGCAGTCCTCAGTTTGTGGCCCCTCCCTCCATCTTCAAACTGCCTCACTCACTCCAACCTCGTTCTGTTGTCACTCTGACCCTCTACTTCTTATACCCTGCCTGCCTCTTAAAAGCACCCTGCTGATTATGTTGGGTGCACTTGGATATCCTTATCTCATGATCTTTAACATGCCTAAGTAGTCTTTTTTGCCATATACGGTAACATTTTCACAGGTTCCAGGGATCACAGCATGAAAATCCCATGGGGAGGGATCATTATTGAGCCTACCATGATGGGCAAGAAGACAGAATCTAGTTAAGGCAGGAGGAAACTACAGACCTTCACTCATGAGTTAATGTCATTTCAGCCTAATGTGGTAATGTTTGTGTAGAGGAAGGAATGCAGCTGCTGAGAACAAGTGTAGATTCAGTTTCTGTGGGTGGGGGGCAGGGGGAGTCGGCAGTGGTCAGGGGAGCAGGAGAGGTTTTGACAAACTCTTTTAAATAAATACTATTTATAGAGGCTTATAAAGTATCACAGTATCTATCTTCTAAATTTCCACACCCACTTTGCCATTTGGGTGACATTATTCACAGGAGAGAGATAAGATAACAGTCTCAGGAAGGATAAGGACATGGTTTGCTAGAGGCTGAGCAGATCAGTCAGGCCGCCAACTTCCTAATCTTGCTTCCACACTATGCTGCCTTTCACACAGGCCAATGGCACGTTAGCTACTAATTATTCATAGAGAAACTGTTCCTTAAACCAGTTCTGGAAGGTGGATTAGGAATCTGCCAGGGAGACAAAGGAAAGAATGGAACTGCCACAAGGTGAAAAACAAGTAGAAAGACACAAGATTAGTAAGTCCTCAGCACGTTTATTGTTCTGCTGAACTGGATTGTCTATGGAGAGAATGAATGATGGTCTCTGAACTAGATTTTGCCCATTTGGTGTTCTTCACCTTCAGTCCACCTCAGGCATAGTCATCTTAATCATCGTTTCAAAATATAGATACTTCCTTGCATAAAAATTTCAAGGTCCAATATCCTGAGCATGGCACCCAAGTCTGTACCCCACTCACTTCCCCTCTGTGCCTTAGTTTTCTCATCTGAAAAATGGGAATATTATGAGTGTCTGCTTCAGAGATTACTATGTGAACTAAATAGATGATGTATGCAGAACACCTGGCATAGTTCCTCATACGTAGTCTTTGCTTAAAAATTAGCAACCCTTTTTTTTTGGTACGTGCCCCTCGCGGGAACCGAACCCAGGACTCTGGTCCACAGGCCGACACTCCAACCGCTGCGCCAAACTGGCCAGGGCAGCAACTCTTAATTATTGTTATCATTCTCAGTATTTCAATGCACCATCCCTGTCATTTTGGAGTGTTGAATAAGTCATTTAACAGAGTGATTCTTGGTGATAAGTAGCAAAAATGGTTGCAATAGAAATAAAATTTCCTCAAATCAAATGAATTTTGGAAGAGAAAGCATTGAAAATGGGTGTAAATGGTACAATATTTTTTTGCTTGTTTTCCTTTTACTTCCTGCCTCAAACAACACACTTAGTTGGGATCAGTAATTAGTAGGTGTAACCCAAAGGGCCAAAGTACCAAAACAATTATTTTTCAATGTCAACCAATGTTGGTGTTTGTAAATACTCCCTTCAGAATTATCCTGACTAAGGAACTCTTTCAAGCTGCCACTTTTGTCGGCAGTAGTATCTAAAGAGTTCTTTCCTGCTGAAAAATGGCCAAGTCAGGCCCAGTTTACCATAGCTGTTTGTTGTTTTAACATTTATAGAGTGATAAAGATTGAATGTACTTAAACTTGTTGTTTTTCTGGTATGAAGCAGTCAGCAGAAAATGTTCATAGACTAGGCACTTACTGCATAGTCGAGAAGCCTATCAAAACACATAACCACTGAAAGTCATTCTGCTCTTGGAAGTTGTTCCTCATTTTTCTACCCTTTGGTTTTCCCCCATTTTAAGGCCCTTGTGGTAAAAAAACAGTTTCCTTTTCAATGCATAGAGCATTGAGGTTTTAAAAATGTATACATTTTTTTCTCATAAAAGACAGTGAATGCATGCTATTATAGATAACAGAAAATACTGAGGAAATAGGGAGGAAACTCTAAAAAACTAATTTCGCTACTCAAATATGATCTTGTCCTATTTGAAAATATTAGTCCTTTAATATTGTTGGGCAGCGGGAGAGGATTCTCCCACTCTACTCTTCTTTAGTTCTTATGACTAGACTAGTGATAAAATAAGAAAATCAACACGAGACTAGATTAATAGAAGAAAAAACAATTGAACATGAGCACAGGAGAACCACAACTTGATGTTGACGTCATAAAACCAGTCTCAAAGAAATGATTGAAGTAGGACCTTATACTTTTTTTTTTTTAATCCTCACCCGAGGACATTTTGTCATTTTTTGTTCAGATAGAGCGGGAGGGAGGGAGAGAGAGAGAGAGAGAGAGAGAGAGAGAGAGAGAGAGAAACATCGACGTAAAAGTGACACATCGAGTGGCTGCCACCCACACAACCCAACCAGGGCCGGGGACAAACTGCAACCGAAGTACATGCCCTTATCGGAAGCAAACCCCGGTCTCTCTGGACCTCAGGCCGACACTCTAACCACTGAGCCGAATCGGCCAGGGCGGAACTTATACTTTTTAAACAAAGAAACAATACGTTTTTGAGAAATTAACAGGACAAAGTGCTCATTAGAAAGGAATCTAAGCGGGTTTGGATATTCATCGATGATGAATCTGCACAAAGCATGGGCGTTACAAGGTTTGTTTATAAACTCTTTTTCGACTCTGGAATTTATAACTTTTGTGATAAAGTTGCCTCTCAGTCCTTCAGGAGCAGGGAGAGCACCTGTGATAGAAATTTATTTCCTGTGTTTGAGGGGTCAGAGTACAGTCAGTGAGTTCTTCCTGCTGTGCTGCTCCTCAGGTGATTTTAGTTTAAATTAATCAACATGCCATTGCGGGATGCTTGGGGGCAGCCTGCCCTGCACCCTGACAGCATGCTTGACAGATGAACTGCTAATTTTCAGTAAAATACCATTGTAAACAATAAAAAAGAAAATTTTTCATGACTTTTATTAATGACTTCATTGTATTGACATTAGTTAGAAAGCATTTCTTATCCTACTTTGGGGTAATAGAATAAGTTTTTCCCTGGCCAGAGAAAAATTGTGGAGCCCATGTGATCTAGCATTCACTTATACATTTATAAGTACTGTGTTTATATGTAATCACTGTGTGCTTACGTATGGATATATGTATTTATATATACACATCCCTAAAACAAGTTCACAATATAATACTTATACTTATTTTGTACAGTGTGTTCTGATATTTTATATTTTATCCTTTCCTATCCTATCCTATCCTATCCTATCCTATCCTATCCTATCCTACTTTATTCACTTTTTAAAATAATGTTGGCCACAGGCTTTAAAGTGATTTCATGACCCACTGATGGGTCATAACTCATAGTTTGAAAACATTGCCCTAGTTCTTTGACTAAACAGTCAAGTTTTAACATTCTGTGTTGGAGTCCACACTCTAATTAGTGCTTCCCAAAATAGTTAAGGCAGTTTAGGCGGGATGCTCAGGATTAGCAGGACAGTTAAATCTCTTTGCCTATAATGCACCTTCAATCTCTACCTGCAGGCCTGACCTGAGGTTGGAGTCTTTGGGAACCCCTGAGGAGCAGCTCCTAGGAGGAGATGTAACAGCAAGTAGGACAATGTCTGGATTGTTGAATTTCTGCATCCTTAGAGCTGAGAGCTCTTATTTATGCTCATTGCCCACTCTGCTTCAGCCATGTACATCCTAGTTCGGGATCTCATGCAAACTGATTTGAGGGTTGGATACACATTGCTTTCTAGGAGGACTTGGAAAAATCAAACATGCTGAGTGAATTTAATTCATGTTTTAATAATGATTTGTTCTTTATCTATTGCTCTTTTCCTTATCCCTGTAGTTTCTGGCTTTAGCCCAATGGGTTTTTTGAATAAAGCAGTCTTGGATCACATCTCAATTTTGACTCTGGGTGACCCTGAGTCTCTCAGTTTCCCATCTGCCCAACAAAGACAGTGCTGTCCACCTCACAGGGCTCTGGAAAGGAATAAATCTCTCTTATAATAGGACCCAGCATGGGTCTGACTCAAAATTAAAACTTAATAAACATGTTATTTTTCTTCCCTTTCTTCACAGTTTTGCCCCCAGAACACATACCTCGGTTCTCGAACATAATTCGTTCCAGGAGGACGGTCGAGAACCAAATTGTTCGAGAACCGAAGCAATGAAACCCAATAGGAAATAATGGAAACTGGATTAATTCGTTCCAAGCCCCAGAAAATGCCTATTTACTGGCCTAATTTGTATATAATATGTAGAAAAACATAAGTCTCAACAAGAAATAAAAGTGTACAGTATGTCTAAGGGTTAAATTCAGTGTAAAGCGTGACTCTCTCCACAAAGCGTGACTCTCTCTCTGCACTCACACTGATGACGCAAGCAAGGCGCGCTGGGCCGAATGAACGCCATTCGGCTCAACTCGGCTCATCTCGGAAGTTCGAGTTCCAAATATTTGTTCGGATTCCGAGACAAAAGTTTCTCGAATCTCCTGGTCGAATACCGATTTGGTCGAAATTCGAGGCGTTCGAGAACCGAGGTATCACTGTATTTACTAACAGTGGTACAGTCAATATAAACAATTCATTAAGAATAAAGACAATAAGCAAGACCTTCCCCCCAGCATTGAATTATAACCCAAAGCTTATGTGCTGATAACCAGTTAAGAAAGAAAAAAGTTTAACATGATAGACACAAGCTGTGCTTTCCCTTCATGGTAACCACTGAAATAAAGTCAAATAACAAAACCACAATGTTTATCAACCAGCATATCTATTAGATATACAGGACCACTGGTGATTTGTAGCCTGGCTTAACTGTCTTT